TATATATATATATTATCAAGATTATCCTTTAAATAAGTAATAGTTAAACAGTCGGTTGATCCTTTAAATACAACAACAACAACAACAACAACAACCCAGTATAATCTCACTAGTGGGGTTTGGGGAGAGTAGTGTGTACGCAGACCTTACCCCTACCCTGGGGTAGAGAGGCTGTTTCCAATAGATCCTCGGCTCCCTCCCTCCAAGAACTCCCCACCTTGCTCTTGGGGCGACTCGAACTCACAACCTCTTGGTTGGAAGTGGAGGGTACTTACCACTAGAGCAACCCACTCGATTGATCCTTTAAATAATTAATAATTAAACAGTCGGCTAAACTCCCAAACAACTAACGCAAAGGCTTTAGCCTTTAGGCCCAAAGTTTTAAGGTCCCATGATTTTACAATTAATAGTTGTAGGTTTTATGTTTAGTTTTTCTTCAAAAATATTTGATATTTTAGATAAAAAGTGCATGCTTTTTATAAAAATATGAAAGAGAACTATTTAGCCATGCGATTGTTTGGCAATATTATCAATTTTAAAAAGATTTTTGAAGAAATTAATTATAAATAATATTACTCCTAGTAATAACTTTGCATTTGAAAAGTTAGAAAAGTAAACCTTAAATGAAATTATATATAAAATATTTTAAGCTTAAGGATTCTTAATAAACTTTAGTTTTAAATAACAAGCTTTAGTGAGACGCCCTAATGGTTAAACTTTCACACACACATATAGAGATAATACATAAATACCGCCTCCAACTTATCCCAATTTTTCAAGTCCACGCTTCAACTTTACTGACGTCCTATTACCCCTCTAAACTGTCTAAAGTGGTATTAATATCACCTTTTGTGCATATGTGGCATGATAAGTGGTTACACATTGATCATATTATGCATATGCCTTCAAGACCGTTCATTAGGAGTCAAGTCAAAGACCTTCAAATTATTGGGATGCATTTGATGAAGTTGGAAGATTTGAATGATCTTTTGAAAAAGCCTAATAGAGTCTACAATTTCATCCAAATGATATTTAGGGGGTGGTGGCCCAAGTTCATGTGAAAAGTCCCAATTACAAGTGGAGAGCCCAAGCACCTAAGGGTCTTTTTAGTCATTATATAGATCTTAGTATAAATAGAAAATATTAGGTCATCTTTCATTCCTTAGACTATATTGAATATTGCTATGTATTTTGTGAGCTTGAAGGTAGATTTGTGGTTGCCTTTGAACTAGCCCTAGAATTTGCAAGAGGTTTGTATTCTATTAGTGTATGTGCTTTTGTTCATTGTATTAGGGGTGATTAGGATTTAATTCTAGTTATTACTAATATGTCATCAATATTTGTGTCTTGCTTCCCGTTCTTTATTTGTTTTTCAAGTCTCATTTCTTGTTCTTGCATTTTGGTTGTTATCATTTGGTATCAGGAGCCTAGGCTAAAGAATTATTCCTATAATTCTTTGGTTTTAGCTTTCAAAAAAAAAAATATACAATTCTAATCCGTGAGTTCTTGGATTCTTGAATACGTTGTGGAAATTGATTCAAGGAGATTGAGTGCTGCTGAAACACTTGTTGGAGTTGCGTTTTGGGGGAAAATTGTTCAACAATTAAACTTGAAGATTAGACCACCCAAAAAGAAAAAAAGTCAAGCATTAAAACCAAAAGCTTTATTCGTTCCTTCACATGCCGAAAATGGAATTTTAATATGCTTTTATTTGTGGAGTAGAGCAGCAATTATTGGACCCATTTCAATTATTTGAAATTAGCTTGTTTATTCATCTCCAGGAGCTTTGTGAAAGTCTTGAAACCTGGTGAAAATTGCAGCAACTTTGCAATTGCATTTTAAGTGTTCTAGCTTCATTTCTTTGTTCATTCTTCACTAGATTAGCTTAGTATTAATTCATATTAAGTAATGTCTTGTTTTTTTGCGTCCTTAACTTGTTTCATGCCAATTTTTTTGTGCTTTTTTTAATTTATTTTCGTTGTAAATTTCTTGGCCCAAGTCCGAATTTACTTACATTGTCCGTTCTTGTTTAAACATCAATTCCATTCTATCCCGACGACGGAAGGGACTTGTTGTAAAGACTAGGATAATAGTTTAGAGGCAACTTTGAGTTTTACCTTTTGAGTGAAAAAAGGCTAGAGCGAGTGAGATTAAAAGAGAGAATTAAAAGCCAATTTTCAAGAGTAAAACACGAGTGATTGAGTGGCATACAACTTGAGTGTATACAATACGAGAGCGACTTGGTGAGGACTTTTATCACTAACTTATTTTTTTATTTTATAGGAAAGTTCAATATGGGTGAGGGATCTTCCAACAACATGAAAAAAATGTTTGAGGCCATGATGAAGAGATTTGATATGATTGATGGTAGGTTCACAAACATGGAGAATAGGATGCAAGTTCAAGAGGAAAAATGAACTCCTTGGTGAGTGGAACTCCCCCACATCAACAAGGTGTTGGAACTAGTGCTTCTCCATCAACTCCTTCTACTCCTTTGGATCCTAATCTAATACAACAAGGGATCCATGCTCAAGCAACTTATGCACAAAGAGGGATTCAATTTCATAAAAATCAACCCCAAAGGCAACAAAGGAGGGACAATCCACAAAATCGCCAACCACCACAAGAAGAGCGCATCAATCTTGAGGAAGAAGAAGATCATGCTCAAATTGCAATAAGGCAACAAGCTTGGCAAGGTTATCGACAACCAAGATACAACCATGATGAGCATGCAAGAGGGTTGAACACCATCAAGATCACTCTTTCACCTTTCAAAGGAAGTAGTGACCCGAAAGAATACTTGGATTGGGTAATCAAGAGTGAAAGTATCTTCCAAGTTAACAATGTGACTAACGCCATGATGATCAAGTATATCATCACCCAATTTGAGTTATTTGCCTCTACTTGGTGGGAATCTTTCAAGAGGAAAAGGGAATAACGACTACTTGATCCTATTACTACTTGGGATGAAATAAAAGGTGTCATGATGAAAAGGTTTGTACCAGATTACTTTCAAGAAGATATTATTTTAAAATTCTACACTTTGAGGTAAGGTAGTAAGAATGTTGATGAATTCTTTGAAGAGTTTGAGAAGATAAGGTTCCGAGCCAACTTTCATGATAGAGAGGAGCTTATTGTTCCAAGATTCCTTGCGGGGTTTAACAAAAAAATTTCTTCTCCTATGAGGTTGCACAAGTATGATTACTTAGAGGATGCTTACCAAGCGACTTTGAGAGTTGAAAAGGGGCTTAAGGGTGAGAAAAACTACAAGTTCAAGAGCACTACTTCTTCATGGAGCAAGGAAAAAGAGACTTGGAAATCTTCAAGCCATTGGAACAAGCCTAAAGAGACTAAACAAAATTTCAAAAATCAAGTTGAAAAATCCAAACCTAAGGTGGAGGCTAAAGAATGAGGAAATAATGCTCAAGTCTCCTACTAATATTAGGTGCCATAAGTGCCATGGACTTGGTCATTACATTAGAGATTGTCCAAACCAGAGAGTTATCATTGCAATGGAAGATGGGGGATATCAAACGGGGGATAGTGACCATGGAGAGTGTGAATAAGAAGACCCAAAGTGCTACTTGGTAGTAAGAAGACTTATGGGTGCACTTGCTAAGGAAGAACTAGATCAGAGGGGGAATCTTTTTCATGCTATATGCCAGATTATGGGAGATGTTTGCTCAATGATAATTGATAATAGAAGTTGTGCAAATGTGGCAAGTGCATCTTTGGTAGAGCAATTGAATTTGCCTACAAGGAAGCATCATACACTATATAGACTACAATGGTTAAATAAGTGTGAGGAACTCAAAGTGACAAAGTTAGTATTGATAAAGTTCAAGATCGAAAAGTATCATGATAAAGTTTGGTGTGAGGTAGTGCCAATACAAGCTTGTCATTTACTTCTAGGCCGACCTTGGCAATATGATAGAGAAGCAAAGCATGATGGAAGAACTAATAAGTACTCTCTTGTTAAAGATGGACATAAATTTACTCTTTTACCTTTGACACCATTTCAAGCGAGTGAAGATTACAAAAAAAATGAGAAAATTGAGGGAAAGAATAAAGAGAGAGAAAAGGGTGAGAAGAGTGATACTTCAATAGAGGAAAAAGTGAGAAGAGTGGCACTTCAAGAGAGAAAAAAGTGAAAAAAGAGGGAAAATGAGGGAAATGTTTCATTTTTACAAAATAAGAGTGAGCCTAGAGGGAAAAAAAGTAAGTTTGTTAGCTAGTCATCAAGATCCTTTGAGAGAGGTTGAGGATAACCGTTCTCTTATACTTCTTATGCATAAAAATTATTTTTTGACTACTAATGAGCTAACCCCTTTTGTACCTACTGAAGTTTCTACTCTTTTGCAAGGTTATGAAGATGTCTTTCCCGAAGAGCTACCAAGGGAACTACCACCTTTGAGGGGAATAAAGAATCAAATTGACTTTGTTTTGGGATCTCAACTTCCAAATCAGCGGCATATAGGAGCAATCCGGAGGCTACAAAAGAGTTGCAAAAGCAAGTTGATGACCTTCTTGAGATAGTATTTGTAAGGGAAAGCTTGAGTCCTTGTGTCGTTCCCGTGATCCTAGTGCCAAAGAAAGATAGAAGTTGGAGAATGTGCGTTAATTGTAGGGCTATCAATAAATTCACGGTAAAGTAGCGTCATCCTATACCTAGGCTTGATGACTTACTTGATTAATTTAGTTGCTCTCTAATCTTTTCTAAAATTAACTTGAGAAGTGGTTATCATCAAATAAGAATAAAATCTGGTGATGAGTGAAAAACTGCTTTTAAAACTAAATTTGGATTGTATGAATGGATGGTTATGCCTTTTGGACTTTCTAATACACCTAGCACTTTTATGAGGCTTATGTACCATGTGATGAAACCCTTTATTGAAAAATTTGTTGTAGTTTACTTTGATGATATTTTGGTGTATCCAAAGTCACTTGAAGAGCATGTTGAGAACTTGAAACAATTTATGCTCTTAGAAAGGAAAGATTGTTTCCTAATTTGAAAAAGTGTACTTTTTGTGTTGATAAAGTGGTCTTTCTTGGTTTTGTTGTGAGTGCTAAGGGTGTAGAAGTTTATGATTCTAAAGTAGAAGCCATTAGGAGTTGGCCCACACCTAAGTCTATTGGGGACGTTAGGAGCTTTCATGGGTTGGCTAGTTTCTATAGAAGGTTTGTTAGAAACTTTAGCACCATAGCCGCATCGTTGACCCAAGTGATTAAGAAAGATAAGACCTTTATTTGGGGAAAGAAAAAGAGGAATCCTTTAGGGAGTTGAAAGATAAACTTAGCAGGACACCACTTATTCAACTTCCTAATTTTGAAAAGACTTTTGAAATTGAGTGTGATGGTAGTAGAGTAGGTATAGGAGCAGTTTTAATACAAAATCAACAACCTGTAGCCTACTTTAGTGAGAAACTTAGAAGGGCGAGCTTGAACTATTCTATATATGACAAGGAGTCGTATGCCTTAGTTAGATATTTATCAATTGGTAACATTACCTTTGGCATAGGGAGTTTGTGATTAAAACCAACCATAAATCTTTGAAGCACCTTAAGAGCCAAGGTAAATTAAATAAGAGACGTACTAAATGGGTAGAGTTTATTAAGCAATTTTCATATTTGATTCACTTTAAGAAAGGCAAAGATAATGTGGTCACAGATGCTCTTTCTAGGAGGTTTATTTTAATGAACACTTTGACTTCTAAGTTGATGGGATTTGAGAGCCTAAGAGAACTTTATCCTAGTGATCATGACTTTAATGAGCTTTATATTTAATGTGATCAAGTTGAGGCATATAAGAAACCATATAGGTTAGATGATGCATACCTTGATAAGCAAGGGAAGAAAGAGAAGGATAAGGAATTAGCCAAAGTAGAAAAACAAAAGAGATTTCATAAGTTTGATGGATTCCAATTTAGAGATGATAAGTTATGTGTGTCTTGGTCCTCTTGGAGAGAAATGCTTGTTAGACAAGCACATAGTGGTGGTTTAATGAGACATTTTGGAGTCCCTAAGACTTTAGATATATTAAATGAGTACTTTTATTGGCCTAAGATGAAAGTTGACGTAGATAAAGTATGTGGTCAATATGTTGAGTGCAAGCAAGATAAGTCTAAGATACGTCCTTTTGGTATGTATACTCCATTGCCTATTCCTAATGCTCTTTGGTTTGATATTTCTATGAATTTTGTTCTTGGTTTGCCTAGGACTAGGAAAGGTAGAGATAGTATTTTTGTGGTAGTTGATAGATTTTCTAAAATGGTATATTTTATACCATGTCATAAAAATGATGATGCTACCCATGTTGCTACTTTATTTGTTGATCATGTACTTAAGTTGCATGAAATTCCAAAAACTATTGTTAGTGATAGGGATTTCAAGTTTCTTAGTCATTTTTGGAAGGGTTTATGGGGTAAGCTTGGCACTAAATTATTATTTTCTACTTCTTGTCACCCTCAAAACGATGGTCAAACCGAAGTTGTCAATAGGTCATTAGAAAATATGCTTAGGGCCATGGTTAAAGGAAAGCTTACTTCTTGGGAGGAACAATTGCCATTGATAGAATTTGCATATAATAGGACTATTCATTCATCTATTGGTATGTCTCCTTTTGAATGTGTTTATGGTTTCAATCCTTTAACTCCTTTGGATATAACTCCTTTGTCTCAAGATGTTGTTGTGAGTTTAGATGCCAAGACAAGAGCTGAAACCGTGAATAAAACTCATGAGAATGCTAGGAAACGATTTAAAAAGATGAACCAAAAAGCGGCTACCAAAGCCAACAAATGAAGAAAGAAAATGGTGTTTGAACCTGGAGAATGGGTGTGGGTGCATTTTAGGAAGGAAATGTTCCCTCACGAGAGAAAGAACAAGTTGCTACCAAGAGGAGATGAGCCTTTTCAAATTCTTGAAAGAATTGATGAAAATACTTATAAAGTTGGCATTCCTAATGATTTTCAAGTGCATGATGTTTTCAACGTTAGTGACTTGTCTCGTTTTGATGTAGGCGATGTTACAAACTCGAGGACGAAATTTTTTCAAGAAGAGAAAGATGATCACATTATGCCTATGCCTTCAAGACCGTTCACTAGGAGTCAAGCTAAGTACCTTCAAATTATTGGGATGCATTTGATGAAGTTGGAATATTTGAATGATCTTTTGAAAAAGCCTAATAGAGTCTACAATTTCATCAAAATGACATTCAAGGATGGTGGCCCAAGTTCATATGAAGAGGTCTAATTACAAGTGGAGAGCCCAAACACCTAAGGGTCTTTTTAGTCATTATATAGACCTTAGTATAAATAGAAAATATTAGGTCATCTTTAATTTCTTAGACTATATTGAATATTGCTATGTATTTTCTGAGCTTGAAGGTAGAATTGTGGTTGCCTTTGAACTAACCCTAGAATTTGCAAGAGGTTTGTCTTCCTCTTGAGGATTCTATTAGTGTAGGTGCTTTTGTTGATTGTATTAGGGGTGATTAGGATTTAATTCTAGTTATTACTAATATCTCATTAATATTTGTGTCTTGCTTCCCTTTCTTTATTTGCTTTTCAAGTCTCATTTTCTGTTCTTGCATTTTGGTTGTTATCACACATCTAGCAGGGCGCGTGAAGAGGAGAATTTAAAGTCCAATCATTGTATTTTTCCTTTTCTCATTTATTCTTTTCGTTTTTTTAAATATCTTCTTCACTAAACCATTAAATCTACCATCAGAAAATATATCTGGCGACCGGAAATCATTCGCCGCAAATTTGTCCGGCCACTAAAATTCGTTCCCTTCAGGCTTAATTTGACAATTTAACAAGATTATCTCTGGCACACACTTTTCGGCTATTTTATCTTCTGTATACATACACCACAGTCAACCAACCAGACCATATTCCTCTGTTTCTCTTCCAAAACTCTCACTTTATATATTTTATCATACCCAAGCTATGCCTAATTAGCTAGTCCAAATGATATATATCCTACCACCCCTTTCAATCTTTTTCACCATCCCTCACAAGAAAAGTTACTTCTTTAATTTATTTTTTCTTCTACAGTTCCTCATCGATAGATTTTAATTCACGCATAGATGGGTTTTAATGATATTTGCGGTACAACCTGATTTTAGGATGTGCTTTTCCTCAATCTGTTACGAATATGGTCTAAGTTTAGGGGGTTTTAAATGAAGATTTTTTGTTTTATTATGTGGTGTCCTTAGTTTATTTTATGTTAGTTGAGTCCTGTTGTTATTTACATTTTAGTACCTAAAGGTGTCCACTTTTGTTGGTCGACACATGTCCAGTTTATTAGGCTACTAGTTGTTTAATACAGTGTATTCCTTATTTTATTCAATTATGTTGAATGGGAAATCAATTTTATCTTCCTTTTTTCTCTGTTTTCTTTTCTTTGCTTTCTTAGTTCATTTCCATGGTTATTCCCACTCGGGAATCGCTACATTTGGTATCAGAGCCGACGATTCTCGATTGTTCTTCGATGTTAATGGTGGAGTCTGGCAGAGGTTCGAATGAGTTGGAGCAAAATATTCAAGCTTTTATTGACATATCAAATAGAAGACTGCAATATATGGAAGAATGGTATCAAAATCGTTTTCGAACCTTCCATAGTTCACAAAATCAGTATGACTTTCAAAAGACGGAGAGTGAGCGGGTTCCCGGTGAACCGTACACTTTTCATCCGTATCCTGGTGAAAATCCAAGTTCTTATCGAGATTCCTATAGTGATTTCACTTATGGATTAGCTAACCCAACGGATGAAGGATGAAATTATCTCCATTCACCCAAAATTGCTCCCTCTTACCAGGTTCTATATATTTATCCATTTGATGGTAACTGTACGGGTTTGTATTTCATTCAGATGGGTGGTGGTATTGTAGTGTCGACGACAGCCTTTGTGCCTACACAAGAAGATCCTCTAACAATGGCGGCAAGATTCAGGAGGAACAAGAAGAAGGGAGGATACGTTAGTGCTTGCTATCGTTGTATCAGAAAACGCAAGGAACATCCTGGGAGAGCAAACACAGGAGGAATGCAGTATCACGCGATTCTTTTTGATAAATATCTTTCTAGTTACATTGGGAAAGTGGGTATGAGGTATTTTAACAAACGTCAGAACTTGATTAAGAAGAAAGGAAACTATGTCGAGAATCAAGTGTTTGATAAAAGTTCTCACATAAATGAGATTGAGCTGCAATGTAGATTTGATAACAAGGAATCCTTAGTGGTTCATATTGATGGCCGAAACTGTGGAGTGCTTAATGAGACTGAGAAATTTGTCCTTAAAGAGATCTTGACTGTTGAATCTGAAAAATCAGTTGATGGGAAAGAGAATATGTAAAAGGTTGAAGATGATGGGGTTGAAGTTTCAGTTAAAGGTTGAAGATGATGGTGTTGAAGTTAAAGAGATCTTGACTGTTGAATCTGAAAAATCAGTTGATGGGAAAGAGAATATGTAAAAGGTTGAAGATGATGGTGTTGAAGTTTCAGTAAAAGGTTGAAGATGATGGTGTTGAAGTTAAAGAGATCTTGACTGTTAAAGAGATCTTGACTGTTGAATCTGAAAAATCAGTTGATGGGAAAGAGAATATGTAAAAGGTTGAAGATGATGGTGTTGAAGTTTCAGTAAAAGGTTGAAGATGATGGTGTTGAAGTTAAAGAGATCTTGACTGTTAAAGAGATCTTGACTGTTGAATCTGAAAAATCAGTTGATGGGAAAGAGAATATGTAAAAGGTTGAAGATGATGGTGTTGAAGTTTCAGTAAAAGGTTGAAGATGATGGTGTTGAAGTTAAAGAGATCTTGACTGTTAAAGAGATCTTGACTGTTGAATCTGAAAAATCAGTTGATGGGAAAGAGAATATGTAAAAGGTTGAAGATGATGGTGTTGAAGTTTCAGTAAAAGGTTGAAGATGATGGTGTTGAAGTTAAAGAGATCTTGACTGTTAAAGAGATCTTGACTGTTGAATCTGAAAAATCAGTTGATGGGAAAGAGAATATGTAAAAGGTTGAAGATGATGGTGTTGAAGTTTCAGTAAAAGGTTGAAGATGATGGTGTTGAAGTTAAAGAGATCTTGACTGTTAAAGAGATCTTGACTGTTGAATCTGAAAAATCAGTTGATGGGAAAGAGAATATGTAAAAGGTTGAAGATGATGGTGTTGAAGTTTCAGTAAAAGGTTGAAGATGATGGTGTTGAAGTTAAAGAGATCTTGACTGTTAAAGAGATCTTGACTGTTGAATCTGAAAAATCAGTTGATGGGAAAGAGAATATGTAAAAGGTTGAAGATGATGGTGTTGAAGTTTCAGTAAAAGGTTGAAGATGATGGTGTTGAAGTTAAAGAGATCTTGACTGTTAAAGAGATCTTGACTGTTGAATCTGAAAAATCAGTTGATGGGAAAGAGAATATGTAAAAGGTTGAAGATGATGGTGTTGAAGTTTCAGTAAAAGGTTGAAGATGATGGTGTTGAAGTTAAAGAGATCTTGACTGTTAAAGAGATCTTGACTGTTGAATCTGAAAAATCAGTTGATGGGAAAGAGAATATGTAAAAGGTTGAAGATGATCAAAAGAAATGAAAGCGAGTGGATTTTCCCATTTGCAAAAGAAGAATCGGATATAATAGAATCAGAAGTTGAGTTTAATGGGAGTGACTATGTGCAATCTGACAATGTCGAGCGACAAAAGAAAGAAGAACCTCCTATGGAGGTTACCGAAGAAGGTAAGCAAGAAGCTACAATTGAGCAAGTCACAGAGGCTAATCTCCTAATTCCTACATCAACCATTATATATGTTGCTAAAGCTAGTATACATATCAAGATGCAGAAAAAAGAAGCTTTTGTACGAGAAGCACATTCAGGTAAGGCTAAAATATTGAGTGTAAATAATAATATTTTATCTCGTGGGGCGAAAGTGGTTGTAATGCAAGTTGCTTATCATTTTGGGCCATTAGCGTTTTTCCTTGCCTTAAATACCAGGTTCAAATCTAAGGGGTTAATTGAGAGTCATATGATGGGCATATATGACAAATATGAAATTATGGGGATCGTTAGGAAATTGTTTGATGAATTACCTCGTAGGTTTGTGGTTCATCTGCTAATACTGATATGGACTCAGCTATTTCAATAAAAGGAAAGGGCCCAGCTCAGCAAAAATGAGAAAATAACTGAATACCCGGCCCACTACCATTTCACTTCCCATTTTTATTATTCTTTACATTTTAGTTGATGTAAATATAAATACAGATTTTTCTTTTATGGAAGAACATAATAGAAAATTAAACAGACACAGAGTCTAGTCTTCTCTCATCTCTCTCTCGCCCTAACTAGGGTTTTCTTCTTTTCTTTCTGCCATAGCTACTTGTGTTTCAATCTAACATGGTATCAGAGCAGGAATTATGATTTCTCACTTCATGAGCTTCAGTCCGATGTTACCCTCGCTCAGAGTTTTGGACGGTTTCATTTCCGTCTCTAGTTGATCGAAGTCAAATGCTAAATCGTCGATTTTGCCATCAAAATTTGGGGATTTCCCTGTTTTTCTTCTTCAAGCGTCTGATATTGCTAGAAGATTTGATTTCTAGGGTTTTTCGAGGTTTTCTTCAACGATCCCTTCAGATTCGATTTTTTAAGGTTTCATATTCGGAGAAGACTCTTCTTCTTCGAGTTTGAGAAGAAGGCTGTAATACCTTTCCTGTTCAACTTCGAAATCGTATATATTTGATGTTGTATGTAGCATATTTGTGTAGAAATTGTATTGATTTAGTTGATAATAGTTTTGTTTCAACTTACTGAACTTGAATTTCACTCTATGGGTAGTGTTATGGAAAACATAGGATCGCCTAGTAGTACAACCTCTGAGGGTTTCACTCCCTTCACGATTGACCCATCCCATCCTTTATATGTGCATCCGTTTGATAGTCCTGGTAATCAGCTGGTGTTTGTACCTTTAGTGGTTGTGGTTTTGTTTTGTGGAGAAGCAGTATGCTTACCTCCTTGTCTGCAAAGAACAAGTTAGGTCTCCTAGATGGTAGGGTCCCTCAACCATCACCAAATTCTCCTTATTACTCATATTGGGAAAGGTGCAAGGACATGGTGAAGGCATGGATAACTAATTTTGTGTCTAGAGAAATTGCCACCAGTGTCATATGTCTTAAGACTGCGAGAGAAGTCTGGAAAGACATTAATGAGAGATTTGATCAGTCAAATGGGTCAAAGTACCTTCAAATCCAAAGGAAAATTAGTACAACCACTCAAGGTTCATCACACATTGCTACCTACTTCACTAAGCTTAGGAGCTTATGGGATGAACTAAACTCCTCTTATGTTGGTCCAGTGTGCTCTTGTGAGGCACTTTCAAAATTCATAGAGGACCAACAATTGTTTCGGTTTATGAATGGATTGAATGAATCATATTCTACTGTCAAGAGTGCCATCACGATGATGAACCCTCTCCCTACTATAAGCAAGGTTTACTCCCTTCTTCAACAGGATGAGAGTCAAAAGGAATCTCTTTCCAATGTTTCCAACTTTTCTGGGGATTCTGCATCTTTCTATGTAAATCGTGCTCAGTACAACAACAATAAAAACTTTACCCAGAAAGTCAATTTTGAACCCAAGAAGAATGTGTCCACAGTGTCATGCAAATACTGCAAGAAACCTAGATACATAGTGGAAAAATGCTACAGGCTGCATGGTTTTCCCCCTGACTTCAAATTTACTAAGAGTAAGAAGTCTGCTTCTTGTGTCCAAGGTGATATCTCCTATCATCAATCATCTTCTGGGTTCAGTCAGTCTCCTGGTAACTCTGCTTCAGTTCATGGGTTCACAAAGTAGCAGTATTAACACCTCCTCACTCTATTTCAACAAGCTCAGGTCTCTCCTGGTGCTGCACCAACCATCTAATCAGATGAGGATTCTGCTTTTGCTCATTTTGCAGGTTTGTTTACTGCCTATGTTGTAGAATCTGTAGGTTCCCATGTATGTGCTTCTTCACAATTAGAGCCAAACCCTTGGATCTTGGATTCAGGGGGCACTAATCACATGACTCCACATAAATTTTTGCTTCACAATGTTGTGCCTTTACCTAAACCATTTCTTGTCACCTTACCTAATGGATACAAAGTTAAGGTTATATCAACTGGTTCCTTGAATCTAAGACATGATATAACTTTTCCTAATGTCCTTCTAGTACCATCTTTTCATTTCAATTTGATCTCTATTCATCAACTTATTACTCAGTTGAATTGTATAGTAGTTCTTACCAAATTCCATTGTTCTCTACAGGGCCCTTCTCTGAAGAGGCCACTGGTAATTGGTAAGGCTGCTGGCATGCTCTACTATCTTCATCTAGATGGAGATCTATTCCCCAACACAAGTTCTTCTCTATCTTCTGTTGTTAATACAACTTGTAATAAGTCTGTTCCTGCACCTTTACATCTTAATGTTCCACCTAGTTGTAATCAAACTTCACTTGTTAATAAGATGGATCTACTTTGACATCAAAGATTGGGTCACATGTCTTTTCATAAGATGCAGTCTATTTCTTTTCTGTCTGACAAAGTCTCTACTAAAAAACCTTTTATTTGTTCAATTTCTCCAATGGCTAGACAACAAAGACTTCCCTTTCATGATAGTACTATTTCTTCTACCAAACCTTTCCAACTAGTTCACATTGACATTTGGGGTCCTTACAATACTAAAACTTATAATGGTTTTAAGTATTTCCTCACTTTAGTTGATGATTTTACTAGAGCCACTTGGACTCATCTTCTTTCTTCCAAGAGTAATGCTTTGTCAATTCTTAAAGCTTTCACTTCTATGGTGAAAGTTCGCTTTAACTCCTCAATACACACTTTTAGATCAGATAATGCTTTTGAACTTGGGAGTAGTTCTGAAGCCATCAGCTTCTTTGCTTCTCAAGGAATTTTATATCAAACTTCCATTCTCTATACTCCACAACAAAATGGTATTGTGGAAAGGAAACACAAATATCTTTTAGAAGTCTCAAGATCCCTAATGTTTCAATCCAAACTACCATTGAAATTTTGGGGGGAATGTGTCCTCACTGCTACATACCTTATCAACAGGATGCCCTCACCACTTCTCCTTAAGCTTTCTCCTTTTGCAAAACTTCATGGGCATCCACCCTCCTATGATCACTTAAGATCATTTGGTTATCTCTGCTTTGCTAGTTCTCCTAAGGTAGGCAGGGATAAATTTCAATCTAGAGCCATTGCATGTATATTCTTAGGATATCCCTATGGCAAGAAAGGTTACAAATTATTCTATCTGTCTAACTCTTCTATTTTTCATTCTAGAGATGTGGTATTCCATGAACATACTTTTCC